GTGACGGTGCTGGATGCCCACGTGGTTGACTGTGGTTTGAGTCCTGGACCTGGTGGCTTGTTTTCTCACTCTCTCTCTGGCCAAATTGAATAATAATAAATAAATAAATACATTTTTAAAAAGAAGCCTACAAATAAATAAATAAATAAATCTTATGTTGGATAAGAATAAAGGAAAAGAAAAATTTAAATAAGAGCAATGACTTTTCCCTGAAGATGCGCTTTGGTTTTTATTATTATTATTATTATTATTTTAAAGAATTATTTTTAGCTTTATTATTATTATTATATTCCAATTTGACCTGAGAGAGACAGAGAGAGAAAGAAAATGAGAAAGGAAGCCACCAGGTCCAGGACTCAAACCATGGTTGACCATGTGGGAGTCCAGCGTCCTTAACCACCATACCACCTGCTGGCCTTGGTTTTTATTATTAGTCTAAATTAAAATTTGCTTCCTATAACAGTAGTACTATCTCCCTTGGATAGATGGATGGATGGATGGATGAACTTACTGTCTATCTAACACCCTTTTTATCCCATAATATGGTCTTTGATCCACATCTTGATGAAATTCTTAGAATGATTTGCCATTGAAAAAACACTAGCCTTTCCTCCATGAGGAAGACAATGAATAGCTGAAGAAGGCTTCTGAGCCCATGAGGCAGGTGGGTGAGGAGAGTGAGTACATAGTTATAGGGGCAGGATCTTCGCACTCACCACTAATTCCAGCAGAGCAGAAATTACAGCAGCGGCAGCAACGTTGGTATAGGAGTAAGAAGTAATTTTAGGATTCTGGTTTATCATTTTGTGCCTCCCCACAAATTTCACATGCCACCAGTTACCTAAGGTCTAAGTTCCCACTAGCTTAGATATTTCATTAAAGCAAGGACCTCACTGTACTATGCTCATTGTATTCTCGGGGGCTAGTATGTGGAAAGAACTGAATAAATATTTATTGGAAGAATCAACAAATGAATGAATCCCTCTGTCTCTCCACATATTGATCACTAGAGGTCAAAGAACGTTACCTATGCTTTTTAGGTAATTTTCTCTAAATGTGGCATACAACACTATGACTGTAGCTGTCCATTCACTCACTCACTCAGTCATTCAGCAAATATCTATCATACGTGCATTAAGTTCTCAGTGCTCATATGCCTCAATGTCCACACTGAACAAGGATGACATAGCCCCTACCCTCAGTAGGACTATAGGTGAGCAGAGAAAACACATTAAAAATAAGCCAATCACAAGCATGACTGATAGGCCTTCCAGAGGAGTTCATTAAAATGAACAGTTGGGGCAGGACCAGCAAATGGCGTAATGGTTATGTTGCTGGACTCCCACATAGTCAACTAAGATTTGAGTCCTGGACCTGGTGGCTTAAAACTCACACATGGCTCATGTGCGTGTGTGCCCAAGATCCTGAAAGGAGAATGGAGGGGAAAGGATTGTAGCGTGACTACCCTCTTGGGGGGTGATTTCTCATTTTCTTTCTCTTTGTCTCCCTCTGTCTCTCCAGTGAGCACACATGCCTTATAGCAAAAATCTCTTTCTCAAAAAAAAAAAAAAAATAGTTGCAGGGCCTGGCCAATTATTCATTTTAGGGGCAGACTAGATCAAAATCTGGATAGCGAGTCAATAAACACCTCCAAAACCATATCAGACAAGCAATGCTCAGCAGTAGCATATCATAGTTAAATAAAAAGCACGGGGCTACTGAGGGCCACCAACCATTTGCACTGTAATTGGTATCAGAGAAGAGAAAGGAGCTAGAGAAAGCCTTGGATCCACAGGTCATTATGATTTGTTAAAACGTTCCAGATGCACACATGAGCACAATCTCCAGTACAGACACTTTGCCCTAGCATGACCTCTCTTTTGTTATGCCCCGCTTATCTTTTGAAACAGACTCAGTACTCTATTATGAACATAATGGCACTCCATACTTTTTAATTCTAATATTGACTTATCACTTATTTATTTATTTATTTATTTATTTTTTACTTCCGAGTGTTTAAAATAGACTAATTAATAAATTATTCTATAGTATTTGTGTCCTGGAGTTGTTCAAATGAGAGATGTAATTTTAAATATCTAAATAAATGGCCTGTGTAAAATAGTATTTACACTATTTGAATATGTGCAGCTTAAGGGAAGAAATTGTATTAGAAAATAATTTTTAGCAATAGCATTAGAAAATAATTTGCACTCGTTTTTCTTGCTGTCCTGTATATCTCTGTAGTCCCATTCTCAGTTCACTGACACCACTAATCTAAAAAGTAATTTATTTGCCATACATAAAAATAAAAGAAAACACAGTGACAATTCTAAATCTGATTCCCAGAATCTCTAAAAAATCTGAAAATACAACTGGAGGAAGTTTGTTTTTTTTTTTTTTTTTTTTTTCCCAATGGTTTAAGTTTTTCAAAAACTTTCTTCTTTTTTTTTTTTTTTTTTTTTTCCCAATGGTTCAAGTTTTTCAAATACTTCCTCTACTTTAACTGGGTCATCATAGAACCACTCAGTAAAATATCACTCCAGAAAACTTTTAAGTGCATTGAATGCTAACCTGAAGGAAAGGAAAGAAAAACTTTAGCTGCCCCTTTGTTGTCCTTTTTCCTGAAATATGCCCCCAGAGAGGAAGACCTGTCTGGAGATAAGACGCTTCGGAGCTGTCAGTGTGCGCTCCAGGCAGGGACGAGGAGGGGCTGTCACTGGAGCACAGCCTGCCCGTCACACATCACAACACGGATACTCACACTGTCATGTGGCGCAGCATCAGGAGGAGCCTACATTCAAACACCATTATGCTCAATTACAAAGATGTGTATTTGCACCCCCTGGAGAGTGGTTTGGGTTGGCAGTAAATTAAGTTAATCATTTGGAGGATTAAGTTAAAAAAAAAAAAAAGGACAGTGTATATCAGAGCACAATTAGTGGTAAATGAACAGCTGACAAGACTTTTATGGAAAAGGAGTGTAGTGACAGGGTGAGCCTTGTTTGTTTGGGGGGAGGGTGTTTCCTATCTGCTTCATCAAAGATGAAATATTTCACTTCTCCTTGCTATTGGTTAAGTTCTTCTATTGCTAGAATACTTGAGAAATGATCTTTCCTACATCAATAAAATGACATGAGAATCAAGATTTCTAGTCATCCCAGGACCAGATGATCACACTGATCTGATTTTATCAATAATTCACCTTCAAGGACTAACGCTCTCGTGGTGTTCTGTTCTTACCAAGAATGAATACCTATTGAACACCAAGGCCAACAGGAGCCGTGAAGGGTAAAGCACTGGACTCCTACATGGTTGACTCTGTGGTTCAAGTCCTAGACTTGGCAGCTTGAAAAACTCACCAGGTGTGTGTATGGGTGTGTCCAAAATTTTGAGAGAAGAATGGAGAAGGGATTGCAGCAAGGCCATCCCCCTGGGGGTAGGGAATATCTCCTAACTTTGCCTCTCTCTGTCTCTCTCCAGTGAGCACATGCACCCTATAGCAAAAAATAAATAAATAAATACCTATTAAACATCCTATTTAATTATCACTTCTAACTTTGCTGTGCAATATAACTTACACATTGTTTTATATGTTCTTGAAATTGCTTAAAATAAACAGCCCAAATTAGCAATAGCTGAGATTTTAGTAGGAATGAGCTATTGATATATGCAACAACTGGAATGGATTTCCAAGTCTCATGAGTCAATAAGCAAACTTACCCATATCTGAAGTAAGTACTGAACTGCCTGCAGAGGCGGTGGGCAAGTTCTCGTTTACCACAAGCTTGAGGACCAGCCAATACCAGCATGGGGTAAGGAGCGTCTAGGCTAGGAAGAGTGCTGCAACACAGAACCAGAGTCCATTACTACCTGACTCCATCAGAGACGCAGCGTCCTAACTGCACGCATCCGGTAAGGTTTCTACGTCGCAGTCACAATAAAGTCAGTTGAAGAAGCACTTGCTGTATGTACAGACTATACAGAAAGATAGTACTGGGGCCAGCAGGTGGCATGGTGGTTAAGCCACTGGACTCCCACATGGCTCAAGTCCTAGACCTGGTGGTTTGCTTTCTCATTCCCCCTGCCTCAGGTCAAATTAAATAATAATAATAAATAAATTAAATTAAATTAATTTTTCTTGAAACAAAAGATAGTACTACTTGCTAGAAACTTGTTGATTATAGTATGCCAAAATAATACTGAAAGCAGAACAATAAGGTAAAATATACATTTATGTAAATTTACTTTAATAAAATTTCTTAAAGTAAAAATGTGGTAAGAGATACTAGCTCTTGCAGCTGTAATAAAGTATTCCCCCAGAACTTATCAATGGCAGAAACAGGACTACCTTCTGAGATTTAAAGTGGAACCTCCATACCTATGGAATTAGAACACAGACATGCAAAGCAAACTTGATGGTAATAACTAAAATTTACCTGAGTAGTACTATGGGCCAGGTATTGCTCTAGAAGTTTTTCAAGTGTTTCCTTGCTTAATTATCAAGAAGCTAATGAAGATGTTTCTGTCATTATCCCCATTTAACACATGAAGAAACTGAAGTACAGAGAGTTTAATTAATTTACCCAGATAATAGCTAATAAGGAAGAGCTGATAAATGAATCTAAGTTTAGCTTCCAAGCCTACAGACTAGACCAAAGAGTGCATTTACTAATCAAATCTTCAACATGCTGTGCGGATGTGTTTAGACTCCACTCATGGCACAGACTGTAGGAATTGACAATGAAATAGAATATTTTCAAAAATCTATGGCTGAGGTTTGGATTCTATGAAGACGAAGGTATAGATTTTATAAAGATTCTGTGAAAATGATGAGACAGCACAATTTTTTCAGTCTTTCTGAATATTCACACACACACACACACACACACACAAAAAAAAACAGAAAAGAACTTGGCAAACTGAAGCACATGGAAAACACGTGTAATGAAACCGGGCAGAGAAATTATCTCTACGAACCACAAACCTGCGCAGTACCAGAATGTGTGCTGAAGGAAGGGGAAGCAAGCCATGGGTGGCACTGACAGGCTTCAAGACAGAGAAGCCAGAATGGCTCCGGGATTCCCTGTGCAAGCGGCAGGCCGGAACTGCACATGTGCAAAAACCTGCATGCAAATGTTCAAAGCAGCTTCATTTGTTTTTTTTTGTTGTTTGTTTGTTTTTAGGTTTTTGCCATAGGGCAAGTGCGCCCACCAGACAGACACAGTGAGAGTGAAAGTGAGAAATCACCCACCGGAGGGGATGGCCATACCTCAATCCCTCCTTCTCCAATCTCATCCTAGGATTTTGGACACATGCGTACAAGCGCGTGGCATCAAGATCCTCAAGTCACCAGGTCAGGGACTTGAACTGTGGTCAGCCATGTGGGAGTCCAGTGACACAACCACCATGCTACCTGTTGGCCCCCAGCGCAGCTTTTTTTGTAATAGTCAAAACCTGGAATCAGTTGGACGTCCCTCATCAGACGCGTGGTAAAAGTAACTGTGATACATCCATACCGTGGAATATTATTCCGCAATAAAAACATAAACCATTGATATATGCAAAAACGTCTATGAATGAAACATTATCCCATGGTTGGGGTAATGAAATGTTTTGGAAATAGATTGTGGTCACGGCTGACAACATTGTGAATATACTTAATACCACTGAACTGTACACTTAAACATGGCTAAAGTGATAAATCTTACATCTTATCAATGTGGATTTCACCACAGTAAAGAACATGGAGAAGAGCTGAATGGGTAGAGCATAGGCAAAAAAGGGTTCTAATGTTTTCAGTAATTATGTTGGTCATAGTATTTGTATTGGTATTACGATATCATTGTGGTCCAATATGGGATTTTAAAAATGAATAACTATGGAATTTTCTAATTTTATCTTCCTCTGTGTCTCTGGGAAGCTGGATTCTTAATATGAGAGAAAAGCAAATGCAGACATAATAGAGAGGAGGTTAAGTAAAAACTTAACTGTAGTCTTGAAATTGAACTGTAAGTATCAATATGAATTCAGGAGGTACAGATACATCAGGGCTGGCAGGTGGCATGGTGGTTAAGGTGCTTGACACTCACATAGCCAACCGTGGTTCAAGTCCTGTACCTGGTGGCTTGCTTTCTCACTTCCTCTCTCTCTCTTTCTCTGTCTCTCCGGTCAAATTAGAAAATAATAATAATAAAGAAAATTAGGGTTTTTTTTAAAGATAGGTACAGATATATCTGTTTAGATATAGATCAGAGGTAGAGATAGAGATAAAATGAACAGATGTAGATAAGATAGATGGCTGGCTGGCTGGCTGGGTGGGTGAGTGGGTGGGCAGTTGAATGAATAGGTGGATAACTAGATGGATAGATGGGCAGAAAGAAATATGTTCCCTAGCTCTTTCCACTAAAATGCCTAGAAATAATGGCCAATGAGTAGCAATGAGTATCTCTAGCACTCATAATGGGAGTGGATAATAGTTCTTCTCACTAGTACTAGGGCTTCTTGGAGAAATACTCCAAATTTGGGACAACATATAGAAAATGAGCCTGGAGAGGGTTATCATACCAGAGAATAAGAAAGCTACCCATGACTTTCAAGCCAGAGTCAAAGTTTGGCTATGTCCTTTTAATGCTGTATCCTCATTCTAGTCATGCCAGGAGAAGGGACAGTGATCCCCAGTAATGTAGTGTGTACAAGGCCCAAAGCCAAGAGTCAGGGTTCCTTTCAGGGATCCTGACTTCTGATGTCACCAGAAAGCTGTGTACTAGCCCAGAGTAGGAAGGGCAGTGGCAGGCCTGCACACTAGCTGCTGGGCCTGTCTCCACAAGCTTTCATAATGAACTCTGCTCCATGATGGAGCATCTGGGCCTGCTTGGCCTCTGTTCTTGTTTGCCTAGCAGCTGGGAATGATCAAGAAAGAGGTATTTATCAAACACTGCTGCAAATTTTTTTATACATATATATTTACAAAAATGTACCCTAAAGCATGAAACAACTTGCAATCTCATAAACTAGAAGAGAAATACAAATGCCCTTCTTTTAAATCAGCTGTGCTTTTCCAGATGTATGTAAATAAATGATAAATCATTTCACCTAGAGGGCTACCATAAACATATAAAACTGTCAGAGTCTACATTATTAAATTATACGTAAAAATCATGTCCTGGGTTGTGAAATAAAACATCTTCCTCTCGGTGGGAAGCCAAGCATATGAAGTACAGGAGCAAATATCACATGAAGAAGAAAAGCCATTTATAGCCAAGAGATTTTACAAGTATTTTTAAAATGCCTTTGGGTATTGATAGAATTTCGGCATTATACTTATAGCACAAATGGCCATCTGCTCCAACAGATTGTTGCAAAAGAAATGGAGGAACCATGGTAAATCTGTCTTCAAATTTAGAGGTGAGAGACGATATTCATGAGTTCAATCAAGCTGGGAGACTCCTCCCTGCTGGGTGGAAAGCGGCTCAATGTAAAGTCTGTCTGGAGTTTCCTTTAGACTGGCTGGGCTTTCTCTAGGAATTCTCTAATGGTCTGAATTCACAGAACAGCTTTGGTAGGAGTATTTAGCATTCACCTCATGGCTAAGGAAAAACTTGCAATGGATATAATAGATCACAATTTTCTGTGATGAGATTAAGTGTGTGTTTGCATTTAAGACAAAAGAGTTGACCATTTTTTCTTCATTTCATTGTTGTATGGCACAGGCTGGCCACCATACAAGGACCACATGAAAGAGAGAAGACCAATCAGTTTATCACCATAGAAACACACCAAGGAGCAAGCAACATATTCAAGTATGGGGAAACATGGTATAACTGACAACCTAGTCTATCAAAGAAAGACTTGCCCCCAGGCCGAGTGGTGGCACCATGCTAAAACTATAATGCGTTGTGAGGCTGAGCCACGTGAGAAGGTTCCAAGTTCAAGGCTGGAGACCTCCCTTAGTGTGCCAGTACATGTGTGCCCGAGATCCCAGAGTATGCCATACATGCGGGCCCAAGATCCCAGAGTGTGCCAGTACATACGTGTCTGAGATCTCAGAGTATGCCAAGTAGAGGCGTGCCCAAGATCCCAGAGTATGCCAGTATGAACGTGCCCCAGATCCAAGGCTGCTTGAAGCTGGAGATGGACAGTGGGATCAAGACCTTGTTGTGGGTGCTGTCTATCTGTCACTCATGGAAGAAATAAATAAACTTGAAAAGAAAAGGAAAAAAGGCTTGACTCCTTCCCTCAGAGAAGGTGAGAAAGCGGTATTTACAGGAACTAAGTGAGTCACAAAATAAAAGGCTAGAGAAAATGACGACGCTGTCTTTTGCCTGCCCACCAAGTTCCACCCGGTGGAAGGTCTTCTGGGATACATACCTGTCAAAGATCCTCTGTGGTTGCATCACGCTGTTGACAACGTGGGTCAGGTGATCTTGGGCCGCGACCACTTCAGGGGGAGGGTCGTATTTATTCACAGCTGCAACCTTTTCAGAATTAGAGAGGTAAAGGGAAAACAATGTTTCAATTCTAAAAAACAGACAAATGGTTTAGATTTTCTTTCATGAAATATTCTAGACACGCAATCCGGTATATAAAATAACTTAACACATGCCCATGAAGGTTTGTATTCAGTCTTCACATCTACTCTAACTTTTCTGACACCTAAATGATGATAATTATTTTAAAATACTGAGTGGAGAGGCTGGTCCCAGAGCCTGGTGGTTAAGGGAACTGGATCCTATATTACTGACTCTGGTAGCTTGAAACCAGACCTGGCAGCTTGAAAAACATTTCAGGTGCATGTGCGTGTGCCCCACATCCCCACAGAAAAGAGGAATAGGAACCAGCAGGTAGCATAATGGTTACATCACCGGAATCCCACGTAGTCGACTGCTTTTGAGTCTAGAACTCAGTGGCTTAAAACTCACGCTGGGTACATGTGCATGCATGCCCAAAATCCGGAGAGGAGAATGGAGAAGGGATTGCGGTGTAGCCATCCCCCCTGACCCTGGGGGGAGAGATTTCTTACTTTCTGTCTCTGTCTCTCTGACAAGTGCTACGCACCCTATAGCAAAAATCTCTCCCGAGAAAAAAGACAAAAACAAAGGAGAAATAAAGAAGAAGGGATTATGACATGCCCGTGACCCTGAAGGGGTGCACTTTCCCTCTCTATCTCTGTCTTTCAGATGAGGGCATGCATCCTCAGGCAATTAAAGTATACACACACACACACATGTATATATACACACATGCACATGCACACACACACACAACACAGTGGAGTCCTTTAATTCCCCTACATCTTTATACTTCCTGGTCTGAAAAGGGAAAAGGTTAAGAAAAGGAAAACAACCTCCGGAGCCTATGATAAAAAGTAAACATTCCACCTTTCAGCATGACAAAGACTGAAATTCCTAAGTTCTAAATTCCAGGTTGACATTGGGGACATATTTTCTCATGCCACATCACGGAGAACCATTCCCTCAGTCTCAAATTCTACTAAAACTTCCTTCTTTTTCACCATATCTTTCTCCACTTAAGAATACGGGGCTTTTCCTAATAGGAAGTTCTATCCTCCTGTCTCTGCTATTCCTCGAAATGTACACTCCTCATCCACTGCGTCTTTACTTAATAAGTGATTTTTCATTTGATTCCCTTAGTAAAACGTTAAAGGAAAAGGGAGACCTAGTAAGTGCCTTTGTGTGTGAGAACGACAGACGAGCGCCCGTAACTATTTTTAACCAACATTTCAGACAGGCACTCGGGAGATGGAATACGTGCTGCTCAATATATTTATACCTGTTTTCATTCCCATCTCAAGTTTGCATCCAGCGTAAGAAACCCCTCATTCGTAGAGGTGTCAGCTGTCACCAGCCACCAAAGCAAGACAAAACAGTTACCACAGGTTTGGGAAGGAGGCAGGTGCTAACATTCGAGGTCTGGTTACTCTAGCATGATGTGACCAGATGAATCATTATTTTAAAGAGCACAATTAAGGATTAAAATGTCAGAGTAGTGATTTATTTGAGTACCTTTTGATTATATGGCAGAATGACATTATGATACATTTTATTGTTAATGAATTTTTAAAGCAACATAGATAGAATTATACAGCCTCCCAATACAATAGAGATCCAATCAGAGTGAGAGTTGGCCGTAACTGGCGCCAGCCTAAGTGGGCCGTTGCTTCTCTTCCTCTCTGACACTATTTCTACTGCATTTATGTTGATGCTCAGTTTCATGGGAGGGCAAATGGACAGATCTTAGTGTCTCAGGTCAGTTTCTAAGGGTTAACCACACTGCAGCCACACAGAAATGACAAAAGGCCTCTAATGAGAACTATCTGACCGAATGCTGAGTCACAGGGGATTCATGTGAGGAGTGGTCGGCTGAGAAACCAGGAATGCATATTTGACAGAATGGGGATAATGACTCCGATTGACTGATTGACTGTAGTGAGGAGTGACTTACACCTGCAGGCATCTCGTACCTATAAGCACCAAGAACGCGTTGTGCTCTCTGAGAGTTTGAGAGTCCTTGCTGTTTCCCTGTAACTTGTTACTGAATAAACTCCTTTCTTCTCCAGCCTGTGTCCCTCATTTCATTGAGCACAGAGGAAGCAGCCAGACTGGCCGGAAACACTAGGCGAAGTAAACGTTCTCCAAATAAATAATGAACTTCTACATTGCTGAGCGTATTGACTGTACATTCACTTATTGACTGTACTGATTCTGTAGCAGGCAGCATTAGCTCTAAACACATAAACACACGAGGTGCTATGATTACCTACCTTTTCTTCCACTTTAATCTTCTTCTGATCTAATTCTGTTAATCTCAGTAGCATAAAAATGATGAAGAGCCAGTATTCCGATTTTTCCTATTTAAAATAGCAAAAGGACCATTCAGTCACCTTTGTTTTTCCAAGTCAACCAGCACCAGGTGCCAGCACTCTAACTGCATGACGCTGGGTCTTTCATCTGCCACGGTCACTCCTGCACACAACCTTCCAGGTCTCCCATGTTCGTGCTCACCAGCCCCTTTATATTAACGACTCAAAAAAAGCAGACTGTGCCCCACAACTTACCAAGCTCTTCAAATGTGTGGCCCTTGTTAATCTTCCTGTGAGGTAATCCGGACAGTAGGATTACTTACCATCACGTCTTTTTCTTTTTCAAGACAGGATCTTACTAGGTCATGTTTCTCCCTAGTGTCTGGAACCACAGGCACAGACCACCGCATCTGGCTTTAACAGTGGGCCAGGAATCAAACCCAGGCCTCCCATGTGGCCTCAGCCTACACAGCTGCAGCGGCTACCAGCACGTGCTACCACACAGCTGGGCCAGAATTTTCTTATTTATAAAGAGTAAACTAAGCCTCCGAAAAGGTGAAGCACCTCATCTCATTTCTGACCACTGACTCAAACCCTGTCTTCTAACTTCAGAGATTTTCATTATGGTAAATAACAAAACCTCACTACTTACTAGTATTTTGTTGTTATTTATTTATACTATTTTGAATTACTCCATATTCTTTATTATAAAATTTTTTATAATAATAAAATAGTATTCATTTATAAAACAAATTCTTATTACTCCCTACCAACTGCCCCATAAGGGATTATCCGCCTTTTAGAAATGTAATCAGAGTTGGTTTTGCATTAAGAAGCTATGTCTCTGAGAGCCAGCAGGTGGCATGATGGTTAAGTGCAGGACTCCCTCAAGTCCGATTGTAGTTCAAGTCCTGGACCTGGCAGCTTGAAAATCATGCTGGACGTGTGTGTATGTGCTGAAAATCCCAGGAGGAGAAGGGATAAGAAGGGAGTGTGGCATGGTCATCCCCCCTGGGGTGTGTTTTCTCATTTTCCCTTTCACTGTCTTTCTCCAGTGAGCAGACATGCCCAATGGCAAAAACCGTAAAAACAAACAAGGAGACCAGCAGGTGATGTAATGCTTACATTGCTAGACTCCCACATAGTCAACCATGGTTCAAGTCCTGGACCCAGCAGCTTAAAACTCACACTGGGCACATATGCATGTGTGCCCACGATCCCAAAAGGAGAATGGAGGAGAAGGGATTACGGCATGACCATCCCTCCGGGGAATGATCTCTTGCTTTATGTCTGTCTCTCTCTGTCTCTCTGGCAAGTGCACGCACCCTATAGCAAAAATCTCTAAAAACAACAACAAAAAACAACAAGAAAAATAAGCTACATCTCTGAAGAGAAAGATATTGGTGGATAATGCCTTCAGTAGATGAGAATGTTTGTAAAGTAAGTATACAAAGGTATCTTTTATGTACGTCTATGTGTAAACGGGAAGGCGAGATTTTGTATCTAAGTGAGTTAACGTGTGTCAAAGGGTTGTGATGTTTATACTCACGTGCAAACACTCTTCAGGGATCTGAACCTGGGCTGTGATAGCCACTTTAAGCCCTGCCCATTACTTGCCCAAAGATGCTTTTAAATCACCTGCCACTATTCCCAGGGCTGTTTTTATTTTGAAATCTTTGATTTTATTCTTTTACCTGTCCAGACATGTTCATCAAAATACACACACCAAATAAGGTACTCGGCAATACATACACAGCACAGAGTCTGTGGGAAGGCAAAGGAAGGATTGAGGTAGGAAAAGGGCAACCGAGGAACAGGTGGAAAAGGGGGGAGGTGTGGGAGGCTGGGAGAAAAGGATGTACCAATGGACAAGAGGAGAGGAACTTGAAAAGCCGTCTCCATTTCTTGAATCCCAGGGGCTAGGAAACCCCGGGGAAGAACTGACCAGCCCTCGGTATCTGCAGGTTCAGCCAACTGCGGGGAGAAAATGTCACGTTCTTGCTGACGCGCGCTGTGAAGTGAGGGCGCCCGTGTCTGTGTCTGCACTGAACATGCAGACACTTCCGTCCCTACTCCCTCGACAGCACAATATAGCCACTATTTACACAGCACCTACATTGTGGAGGGTATTATAAGTAATCCGGAGATGATTTAAAGTACACAGGAGGATATGTGTAGGTTAGAAGCAAATACTGCGCTATTTTATAGAAGGGATTCGAGCACCTGAGGATGTTTTGAGTCCATGGGCTGTCCTGGAACCAATCCCCTGCAGATACCTAGGACAACTGTATATTACGCTCTCTAAGTACTTTATAGACACTCCAATTCCAGGGCTGCATCAAGCAAAATTCTTTAGATATCCAATCTTACATTCTTCCCTCTGTTAAAAATAGAAACCACATCCTGTCTGCACTCGGACGCCATTTATCTGCTAATGTAAAAGAACATTGCTCTGCAATCTCATTAGCTCCATCCTGTAATTCCCAGTACCACCAAGGATGAGTCACAAATAACCAGGCAGAGTGGGTAACAACATTCACTTTCAGGCTTTACTTTTCACTGAGCAGAGTCAAGAAAGATGGTATTTCTGAAAAATGTCATTTTAGGTGCTATTTATCCCTCCTAATTGTTTCCTGAGAGAAAAACTGTATTCACATCTCTGATGTTCTTTATCTAAAGTACTTCTTAACAGAATTCAAAGGTAATTTAAAACAAAAAGAATTCCAAGATCGTTCTCATTGCCCCCTCCATCACCCCTACCATAAATGATCTCTCACCTGAATTGGATTTCTTAGAAGATTGAGAATTCGAAGGATGGGTAGATTTTCAATGTATGCTATTTCACCCAGCTCGGCAATCTATTTAATTAAAGAAACAAAATGTAAAATGAACAAAGATAGTACAAAACATGGTACAGCAGGAGCCCAAGTGGGTCCTTTAAATTCAACTTATTTACAAAGTTATTCTGATAAATATTCAGCTTTTTTTTTTTTTAAAGAGATTTTTGCATTAGGGAACAAGTGCTTACTGGAGAGAGAGAGAGAGAGAGAGACAGAGACATTTAGAGGGAAAGTGAGAAATCACCCCCCGGGGGGATGGCCACACCACATCCCTTCTCCTCCATTCTCCTCTTGGGATCTTGGGCATGCACATACAGGCTCCCAGCGTGAGTTTCAAGCCATCAGGTCTGGGACTCGAACTGTGGTCGGCCATGTGGGAGTCCAGCAACATAACCCACTACACCATCTGCGGGCCCCAAATATCCAGCTTTTCCATGAGAACTCTATAGAGCTGCTACAGGAAGGACTGCACACCCCTTCAATAAACGTGAACTCCACCACATTTTCTTTTTCCTTTTCTAGCTAGAAAGTAATACAGTTCCTCTTCTAACCCATGTTTAAGGCAAAAAAAAAAAAAAAAAAGTAGAGAATCAGAACAGAAAATGCAGCCAGGACTACCTGGCTATCCTCTCCATCTCCAGTCCTGGCCCTGCAGCACCCCGACTTCCCTCTCAACCCCATTTCTGCAATCGTGGTCACTGGTAATTGGTTGAGCCTGTACGTGTAGGGCTCTATCACTTTTTCCACAAGAGTATTATTTTAAGGAAAAGCGGAAATTGGAAACACCACAACATATTTATTGAAGGGTGCCCACTGTTCGCCTGAAAAATTTTTTTTGCCAACCTGGATAATTATGTTTTATTCACTTTTCTGTATTGGTTATGTTTCACAATTTCAAAAACTAGGAGAAAGAAAGGAAAAACAAGATTGCTTAACAGTTCCTTAACCGGACTAAGAATAGAAGCTTGGGTTGTGGTTGTAGCAGGCCTGAATTCTCCACTAAACTGAAGACAAATTGTTTAAATTTCTTGTCATTAGAATAATTACAATTTTATTTCTGCATGTGTTATAAAAGGCCTCCAACAGCAAGGCCATCAGTGATGACCTAAGTTATCCCACCACAAAACACAGCTAAAATGTCAACCAGTCCCAAAGCTGAGTAATAAGAGGAACATATGCACCAAGTTCCAAAGATGCTATTTCCAACAATATAAAGTGAAAGGCGAGTCCAGAGCTGCGGCTAACAACCTGCATGCACTAACCTGGTAGAGCCACTCTACACCAGCGTGATACGCGTTTTTCCTTAAGGTGACAAAGGGACCACTCATCTTACGTTGTGTTATTCAGGAAGGTGGGAAAGTGAACTTGGTTCACACCGCTCGGTCAGAACTTTGAGAATGGACCAATGCCCTCTAACACACAACTCTTGTCCTCGAATCTAGTATAAACACTCAGAGAAAATGTGTCGGCTGTGTCCATCGTGACTCACCACTACTCCTGGCCACTGCACCTGCAGACATTGCTGGGAAGGATGGACACTGGTTCACTCTTTCTTTCTTTTTAACTGCCAGAGGCATGTGCACTTGCCAGTGAAAGACAGAGAGGGGGAGAAGGCACCCCCAGTGGGGCATGGTCACACTGCAATCTCTTCTCCTATACTGTCAGGATTTGGGACACACACAAACACACACTTGATGTGCTTTCCAAGTTTTGGGGGCTGAGATTCCAACTGTGGTCGGTCATGTGGAATCCCGCTCCCTTAACTACTAGGCCATGGGGCCCCTTCATTCTTTCTGAAAGACTATCTGATGTGTTACATGTGCTTAAGCTGTGAACCAGCTACCCTGTGTCAAGAGGTTTATACAAAAGAGATCACTGGACTGGCATAAATTATATACAAGAATGCTTGGTCTAATAGTATGTGTAAAAGTAAAAAGTTTCTAAATACCTAAGAACTCCACCATTAAGCTATTAAATGAGTCAAAGAGCACTTCTACAGAAGGACAGCTGTGGAACACAGTGATTCCCATGGTGACTGATGAAAAGATTTTCTCAACACGATACAAATATCATGAGTAGAGTGCTCAGGGACTATATCAAATTCCGTTTCTACTAAGATGTCAGATGGGATCAAATGGTCTTTAGAGAGTAAGATGAAAGGGATCCAGCTTCCCCCCATCCTTTCAAGGGTGGAATGGGATGGGTAGGTGGGGAACAGCATGGGGTAGCCTACCTCCAACTTCCCACGTCTGCTGAAGTAGCAAAGTGCCACAGTTACTGGCAGTCTGCAATGTGCCCTCTTCCCCTGAACAACCTCACCCCTCAGGGCACCGCACTCCCATTCCTTCTCTCTGCATGGGCCACAAACCCAAGGCAGCCTAACAGGTTTTATGTCCTTTGTAGAAGGACAGAAGGTATAGGGAAAACTGCATTGCAAATGACTTAAAGTGAAATATGTCCAGAAAGGTTATGTTCTATGTGTGTGTGTGTGTGTGTGTGTGTGTGTGTGCGTGTGTGCACGTGTGCATGCACACTACAGGACAGACACACTAACTGGAGAAAGGGGGGAAGAAGGGAGCAGAGAGCGAGGGAGAGAAAAAGTGAGAAATCACCCCTAAAAGGGGACAGCCATGCTGTAATTCCTTCTCCATTCTCCTCTTGTGATTTTGGGCATGCATGCATATGTACTCAGCATGTTTTTCAAGCCACCACATCCAGTACTTGAACCTTGCAGTTAGTCACATGGGATCCAGTGCCTTAACCACCATACCACTGACTGGCCTAGAAAGATTATAATCTTAAAGTAACTTCAGCACAGGTGAGTCCAGACTTCAGTCTACCCTGTTCGGTGATTTCCTTTGCCCACTTGCCACTCTCTAGAATAGACTCTGTCCATTTATTTTTCTGCCATTTCCTTCCAGGTCATGCTCCACTGAGATCTAATGAGGTCTGTTAAGGCCTTTTCTTAAAAACAAATTGTTTTTTTAACATATAAGAGACCTCAAAAAGTTGGTGGAGAATAGCATTAAAGCACAAGTTTATTGTGTTACAAAAAAGTTCTGAAATTCACGCATGGTCTTTTCCATAAACGTTTTCGAAGACTCCTCATGCGTGTGTGTGTGTGTGCATGTGCACTTGGATACTACATGTGTACATCTGTCTCCTTAGAAAACAATTGGGTACAGTCATAACTCTTCATGGGTCATCTCCATAGCACAGCAGTAATGTGCTACTCCAGAGAAGCTGGATCATAGCAACCACAGTGCGAATGCCAGTCCAAACAGCCTGAAACACACAGTAAACAAGCAAGTGTCCTAGGTTCCAGGAAGAGAGACCGGAAGAATACGATGTTTCCAGACACTGTAGAGGATGTTTCTCTCTCTCTCTCTCTTTCTCTATCATTTTTCCATTGCTACATACGTATAAATTTGTGCCCAAAGACAGTGTTTTTCAAACTCTACTGACTAGTTAATGATAAATACATTACTGAAATAAGAATCAGTGGGGCCACAGGTGGTGTAGTGGTTAAGGTGCTGGACTCCCACATGCCCAACCATGGTTCAAGGCCCGAACCTAGTGGCTTGCTCTCTCCCTCCCTCTCTCTCTCTCTGTCTCTGTCTCTCTGTCTGTCTCTGCCTCTCTTTCTCTGGTGAGCATACATGCCATATAGCAAACATTAATTAATTAATTTAAAAGAAATAAGAATAGGTAGAAGAATGAAAAGAAAACAAAAGCTACAATAAAAAAAATTATAGTCAAGGACACGAGTAGACAGTTTTTCAAAAAGGAAATCCATTGGCTAGAAAATAGGTAGCAAAAAATGCTTAACCTGGTAATTGAAGAAATTCCGGGTGGAAACCAGCAGTTAGCGTAATGGCTATGTCGCTGGACTCCCACGTAGTCGACCACGGTTCGCGTCCTGAACCCGGTGGCTTAAAACTCACGCCGGGCGCGTGTGCGTGCGTGCCCAAGATCCCGAGAGGAGAATGGAGAAGGGACTGCGGCGTGACCATCCCCTCTGGGGGGTGATTTCTCGCTTTCTGTCTCTATGTCTCTCTCTGTCTGACTGGTGAGTGCACGTGCCCTATAACGAAAACCTCTCCAAAAAAAAAAAGAAAAGAAATTCAGGGTGAACCAGTGGGGTGGTGGTAAGGCAGCTGGATCACCTATGGTCAACTGTGTGGTACGAGTCTCAGATCCAATGGCTTGAAAACCACACCAAGCACCTATGTGGGCGTGCCCAAAATCCCAAAAAGAGGGAGAAATGGAGAAGAAATCAAGGTGTCACTGTTTACCATGGAAGGTGCTTTTGTGCTTTTCCTGTCCTATCTCTTGTCTTGTGAGCACAGATGCTCTTTGACAACATTTTTTTAAAGAAAGAAAAATTCCTATATCTCCTCTGCCCCCTGTGGTTGTGCTTGCTGTATGAGGTGGGAGATCGGGGTTCAATTTTTGGCCTATACTCAAAAGCCAGGTGTAGTGGGGTACCCCTGTAATTCCAGCTACCGGAGAGGCTGAGGTAGGAGCATTATGAGCTCATAGTCAGTGTAAACAGCCAGCCAAGCTGGTGAACACCTGGGGTCCCAGCTTTTCAGAAGGCTGGCAGGAAGATGGCAACACAGCAAGGCCCCATCAGAAAAAGGGGTGGGGGGAACCAGCAGATGACATAATGGTTACCTGACTCCCACGCGGTCAACCAAAGTTTGAGTCCCAGACCCAGAAGCTTAAAACTCACACCAGGAGCATGTATATGAGTGCTCAAAACCCAACAGGAGAATGGAGGAGAAGGGTTTGTGGCATGGCCATTCCCCTTGGGGGTTATTTCTCGCTTTCTGTCTCTGGTGAGCATATGTGCCCTATAGCAAAAAAACTCCCTGAAAAAAAAAAAATCCCCCCCCACACACATATACATAAGAAATTCATATTAAATATGTTTTTCTCTACTGGATTGATATAATTTTAAAAAGATATTTGGGCTGGTCCCATAGCCTAATGGTTAAGGAAGCCAGATCCCACATGCTGACTACAGTTCAAATGCTGGCCTTGGAGGCTTGAAAAATATGCTGGGCATGAGTGAGTGCACGCCCCAAATCCTGACAGACAGAGAAGTGGAGAAGGGATTGTGACATGACCACACCCCCACGTGGGTGGTGCTTTCTCCCTCTCTTTGTGTCTGTCTCTGGCAACTGTACATACCCTGTGGTAATTTAAAAGAAAGAAAGAGAGAGAGAGAGAGAGAGAGAGAGAGAGAGAAAGGTATTTACTGATAAACATGTAGTAAAAAGATACTCTAACTTCATCCACTAGCAGTGTTTTAACTTTGAAGAAATCTATCAAAAGCCTTAAAAATGTCCACACCTGAGCTAGCAGGTGGCATGGTAGCTAAGGCACTGGATCCCACATGGCTAACTTGGCAGTTTGAATCCCAGACCCAGTGGCTTGAAAGACACAGTAGGTGCCTATGTGTGCCAAAAATCCCAAGAGGAGAATAGAGGAGAAGGGACTGTGGCATGGAGGGGAGGGAGTTCCTCACTTTCCCTCTTTTTCTCTCCAGCAGGTATGTGTTCCTAATGGCAAAAATATAAAAAATAAAAATAATTTTTGAATGCCTATTCCCCAGTAATGATGTTATTTCCAAGAATCCATTCTAAGGAAATAATAATATACTTACATATTGATATATAAGAATATTTATTTCTACATTATTTTTAATAACAAAAGTTATAAACATGACAAATTTCAATAAGCAAATGATTCAATAAATCCTGATGTAACGTATCCATTCAATAAACTATCTGACACGTATTAAATCAGAGTTTTCCAATGTTGGGCACACGTGGTCTTGGTCATCATTACACTCTAATCCATGAGCCAATGCTAAACAAGGCAAGGAACAGCTGAGCATGTGCCTCTGTCACCAAGGAGCCACGTCACTAAGAAGCAGGCCAAGTCTATCACCAGGAGCCAGGCATCAAGAAAGGGCCATGGATGAAGCATTAAATCCAGCTAGTTTTCACCTGAAAGTTCAGAAAGTAGTTGGAGAGTGAGGAGGCAGAATCAGGACCTGGGCTCAAAGTGTACACCCCGCAGTGCTCTCTGCAGAGACCCGGGCCTGCCAGGGAGAATGTTTGCTGCGACAGCTCCTGCCCTCTTTAGAACTATATAGTGGCCCCGGCTACCTTGCTTGGCCAGCCCCTCTGGATATCCAGAGGCCGAAAGCCTCCAAAGAGTCCTCTTTTCCTATCTGCACCCTATGGCAGAGGGAGCTTGGCCAGGGAGAATGGAGACCGATTTTAGCAGGAGATCCAATCATGCCAACGTCTCCTATCTCAGCCCTGCCTTCCTCTGTACCAATGCAGTCAGCCCTGGATGCCTGGAGGCCCTAGCTACCCCAAGGGACCATCTAGGCCAACCCTTTTCCTCACAGACCTAACAAACTTAAATCCAGAGAGAAATTAAGTTCACTCAGAAGATGAAGTGCCTTCAATTCTCCCAAAATTCCTTTGTTCACATATGTGAACAGACATAGGGGCCAGGATCCAGTGAAGGCGGGTCTAGCACCCTGGCATTGCTTGTCTGAGACATGAAATGGCGTCTCTCTCTCAATATCGAGACGCAGGAAGTCCTCTGGGAAGAATGTCCTAACTCAAAGCTTGATACAAATCAAGAATAGGGTAACTGTCTTCAGCTGCCATCATTTTCCACAGTTTTGGGGAGAACGGCCAGAGCCCTGGGAAAAGTAAAGAGACCTGGAGTTCTGGGTGGAATACTCCTGCTACTCAGGATTTAAGTTTTCTTCATGCGCCTCGCTTTTCTATATGTCTAATCTTGTGAATTCTTACAAAAACTCAGAAAAGTAGTAGGGAGCACACACTGAAATAACGAATAAGATCAGAGTAGTACTTTCTCTGAGTCACTCCCAGGCTCAAAGGAAGGATTATGTTTATCATAGAGTTAGTAGTTAGGGATGAATTTTAAAAGCTAGAAAGACTTAAAAATCTAACCAGCTGATGGTAAATATTTGCAAATTACCTTAAAAGAGACATTCAAAAGAGCACATGTAAGTGCTACAATGTTTCAACAGCTAAAAGCAAATAAACACTACCAATGAAACACTACTAATGCCATCAATAAAACAATATCCTTAACATTAAATAAGTCAAATGAGAAGCGAAGTTCCATTATGTTTCTTTAAATGATACATTTTCCATCCGTGATACACAGTACTCTCAGTAGTCCTGGAGAAATCTCTGAGGAACTCTTCGGATGGCTCAAACAGTATTTCCAAGTACTATGGGTTGCTCCCCAACCTGCCCAGTGGGGAGATTGGGAATTATGTTATTGTTACAAGCCCATCGTTGCCAAAGGATCCCCCCTTTGGGACACATGTCCACTTTTTTTAAATGGAGTCTCTAACATTTGAAAATTATAAACACTTTTCTTCACTTAAGAATACTCCCTTTTTTTCTTTAAAGACTTTCAAATGTAATTTGAAAAGTTTTTTTTTTTTTAAATGAGAACAAACTGTATACTCTATCCTCTATATACTCTATGTGAGGTGTTTCTAGACCTGCGCTATTCAATATGGTAATTACTAGCCATGTGTGGTTACTTGGCACTTGAAATACAGCTAGGATGAATTGAGATGTACTCTGAGTGTAAAATATGCACCAGATGTCAAAACTTAGCATGAAACAATAGAAGGTAAACTATCTCATCAATCATTTTGTTTGTAGATATGTTGAAATGACATCTTGGGTATATTGGGTTAAATAAAATAATATTATTAAAATTCATTTCACCTGTTTCTTTTTACCTTTTCACTGTGGCTAGTACAGAATGTTAATGGTATCTGTGGCTGACAGCTATGTTGGCACTTTACTTCTTTGAGAAAGTACTTTTTTGAACATTTCACCACACTCTTTTTGAAGGGAGGGTCACTGGCATTTCATTTTACTGTACCCTGCGGAGGATAAGAACACTGACTCTGGAGGCAAGCCATTCTATAAGTGAGTCCTGCCTCTGCTGTTTATCAGGTAGATAACTTTGGGCAAGTTACTCAACCTCTCTTTCTTCGTCTGTAAAACAGCAATAATAATAATAATAGGGTTATTGGGATCAACAGATGGTGTAATGGTTCTGTCACTGGACTCCCATGGAGTCGACTGTGATCTGAGTCCTGGACCCGACAGCTTAAAACTCATACCAGGTGTGTGTGCATGCATGTCCAAAACTCCGAGAGAAGAATGGAGGAGAAGGAATTGCGGCATAGCCATTTCTCCTGGGGCTGATTTCTCTCTTCCTATCTCTCTCTGTCTCTCCGGCAAGCACAGACATCCTATAGCAAAAATCTCTCTAAAAAATAATTTAAAAAATAACAATAGAGTGATAACGAGGATGGAACGAGATATGTGAAGCGCTTGAACAGTGCCTGCTATATAAGTGCCCGGAGAATGTTTCTAGATTATTTTATGACTGTAACTGTTATTATTATCATTACTGTTACTCTCTTTCCTGGTTCCGGAGATACAGTGAGCTGGAATTCCAGGAGTGCATCCTACCATCCAATACAGGCCCCCTCCACCCATGTACCTGTGAGAACCATTTTCAACGGGAAACAGCAATTGCATGAAAAAGACACTGAAGCAGAGACTGTGGAGACTTCCTCAGACACACAACCCAGACACAAAGGCCCTCCTCCCAAATTAATGAACATGAAGGCTGGCTCCTTGATGCAGGGGGAATATGCTGCTCAAGAAAAGCTCTAACTGACATGGTGAGTGCGACTGGAACCTCCAGCCTGGTCAGCCTGAAACGTACTGGAACATGTGTGAGAGCCCGAGATTCAATGGGCTGGAGGCAGAAACGAGGGGATAACGGCATGCCTTACCCTGTGGAGGGTGCTCCTCTCTCTCTCTCTTTCTCTGTATTTCTCTATCATCTGTGTGTACTCTATCATGAACAAAATATATATATATATATATACACACACACACACACACATATATAATATATATTATTTTTTTTATATATAAAATAATATATATTATATATATAAATAATAAAAGAATGAATGAACTCGAGAAGTTGCCAGGCCAATTTAATATACAAATCAAGTGAGAATGAGGATAAAAAAGTTTCGTTTATGATTAAAATTTCACTTAGTCCCAGTCATAATGGCCACCTTTTCTTGATTTTAGCAACTAGCAGAGAAGGGAGTCAGTTGGAGGAAGCTACCAGACACACTGACAAGCACCATGGCCCAGAACAGAGCCTGGTTCTGCGGCAGCGCAACTCATGCCTGTGAGCACTGACTTCTCAGCTTCCTGACAAAATCTCTCCCTGAAAATGTGGGTCCTCAGTATGAGGAAAACTACTGTGTAGACCTTATTGCATAAGTCAGCTATGGGTGCCAACTCAATATAACAGGACTAGGAGCACAGATGCTTCTTAAAACTGTGCAACTCAGCCCATGGTTGAGACACTGCGTTCTGTGGACACATGGGAGATTTGAGTTCGATTCCCAATGCAACCTACAGGCCAGGTGCTGTGATGGGTGCCTGTAATCCCAGCGACTGGGGCAGCTGGGGCAGGAGGATCGTGAGTTTGAGGCTGGGCTGGGCAACATAATGAGACCCTGTCGTACAAGAGATGGGCATGGTGGTGCATACCCACACTCCCGGCCGGAAACTGAGGAAGACTGCAACAGAGCAAAAATCTCATCTAAAAAAATGTTATTAAGAGTGAAAGCAAATTTACATAATTTCTGAAGTAAAGTATGCATTCCGTGTCGGTGCCAAATCTCTAACATGTCCTCTTACAGACATGCTGAAATCAAGACACGCAAAGTGTGTCTTACTATCTTTACCTTACCTTATTATCCTCTAGGTTGATCACTTCCAGGAGGTCGTGGCTCTCCAAGCCTTGGAGGCTATTGATCTGATTATGGGAAAGATCTAGGTTCTGCAGGGTTCTCAGGTCCTCCAAGCCCGTGATCTTCTCAATCTGGTTGTTACTCTGAAGTGGACAAAATATACTTAATGTCTTGAAGAGCACTCATAGGAAGATCTGTAGTAGCACATTTTCACTTTGGACATGGCCTTAAATCTATTAAAACATCACCAAGCCACACTTGTCCCTTCCCTGTTGTATTAACTTGTTCTTGTGTTGCTAACAGAAATACCTGAGCTTGGGTGATTGGGAAAAAAATAGAGGTTTATTTGGCTCACAAATCTGGTAACTATAAAGCCCAAAGTCACGGAGCCAGGACCAGGCCAAGCTGACAACAGGGCAGTCAGAAGCAGAAAGAGGAAGGCAGATACATGTGCAGGGAGTGGGGGGAGGGTGTGAGGAGAGAAAACACTTTTCCACATCCTCTGTCCCTCCCCTACTTCCAGACAACTGGATGGTGCCCTCCCATTAGACCTGGCCTCTTAAAGATCTCGCTGCCTCCCAGACCACAGGGTACCAAGCTTCCAAAGTATGAATCTTTGGGGTGTTGTAGGCAGGTGAATGATGCTATAGTTTAGATAATAGATTTTCCCCCAAAATTCACCCATATATACACATACCCCAAAAGGAAATCCCAGATTTCCAGCTGGAAGATTCAGAATACAACATTTTTATTAAAGTGAAAGCCAAGTCTGTATTAAAATTCAAAGGAAAGACAAACTTGGTTGTATAAGCTTTTAACACAATATACCTAAAGTCTAACACCAGCATAACTCCACATTTTACTTAAGAAATCCATATATATTAAATTCAAGTCCTTTATCATCAATACAATAAGCTGCTTGAATATCATAACTCTCATTCACAGTTTGTTTTCACAAACATTCTAAATATAATCACATCATATCATGAGGGCTGTGGTAGTTCTTACCTTGATGACCTCCCATGAACCATGCCTCCAGTTATCCAAGGTCTTGTGCAGTGCCCTCTTCTTAAATCTAGATTGGAACTATGATTTGCCTTAACCAAAAGGATATGGCGGAAGTGTGCCAGCTCTAAGGCCAAGGCTCAAGAAGGCCTGGCAGTTTCTGTCTTTGTGTCTTAGCAGCCCTAAACTATCATGTAAGATAGTTCAGCTACTTTGTTGGAGAGAATTCATGGAGGGGCTGCATAGAGAAGAGGTCACGTGGAATAAGGGTCTGAGACTAAATAGAAATAAAAGCCAGTCCTCCCAGAATCACACCTGGCTCAAGCCCCATTCACCAATACAACAGCTGAATGAGAAAAGCCCAGCAGAAGAAGCACCCAGCTCATATTGAAGAACTGTTAGCTAATATAATAGACATTTCTGAATCGTTACAATTGTAGTGATCTGTTGTGCAACCTTATATAACCAAACTAAGTTTTTCAATACAATAATTCACAGGCAGTGAGAATAAAATAAAGATTCAAGACTCATGTACTATCCTCTTCCTCAAACTCTACCCATAATAACAATCAAGAATGTTAACAAAAATATGCATTATTTTATAATATACTCTTTATTTCTTGTGTTTCTTATATTTGAGTAAAAGAAAATACCATAGTACTTTTTTACTGTAACTTTTAAATTTTACTTAACTTTTTGACTATTTTGTAATAATACTTAGCTTAAAGTAATACCGTAGTACTTTTTTACTGTAACTTTTACATTTTACTTAACTTTTTTACTATTTTGTAATAATACTTAGCTTAAAGTAAAAACGCATTGTATAGCTGCACAAAAATATCTTCCATAGTAAAATTAAGGCCTTAATTTGAGCTGAGAATCACAACAAGGTCATTTTGAGGTTTTGATTAATGTCATATTGTGCCCATCCTTACACTTTTAAAACTTTTTAATATATAGTTAAGAGCTTAAAAATGAAATTATCGTATTCTCTTCCATCTACAATATTTCTCCTGGTACATGTTTCCTGACATACTTAATAGTAAGAGCTCATTTCATTCTATTTTTCATACAATTTCAATTCAATAATGAGCACAATTTATGTTCATTAATATAATCCTATGGTTCTATAAAGCATGTTGATATAATGTTGACAATCTATAGAGCTAGGTGTTAGCACATAAGGTTTTATTATATAATTATTTTTACATTTTATATATGTTTGAAAAATTCCATAATAAAAATTTTAAAAATTCATAATTCCATTTGCCAGAGTGAAGTCAAATTTCCTTCTGTTCAGAGTTGAAAAAGTCATAGAAAGAGTAATAGAAAAGGGAAAAAAAAAACTACACTGAACTTATCATGATGTTCATATTAATTTTACATATTGAAATAAGACCTCAATATCCTATTCAAAATATACCCACATATTCAACTTATATATAATACACTTCTCCCCAAGGAACTTTGAAGTGCTTTAGATGTGGTAGATAGACTGCAATTCTTCTTTACATATCTCTGAGGGCTTTCAAAGTAGTGGCTTACAGGAGAAAAGTGAGCATAGAAAAGTTTAATTAGATAGCCTCTGGTCATAAAAGAAACTAGAATGGAGTAAATTTGAGAATCACAGAATTTCTGAATGCAAAATGATCTATTTAAGGTTTTATCCAACATTGAAACACAATGCATCCTCCTAAAGGTGAACACTCCGGGGACCAGCAGGTGGTGTAGTGGTTAAGGTGCTGGACTCCCATGTGGCTAACTGCAGTTCAAGACTCAGACCTGAAGGTTTAAAACTCATGCAAGGCATGCATGCCCAAAATCCCAAGAGGAGAATGGAGAAGAAGGGATTGTGGTGTGGCCACTACCCCCAACCCCCATCTCTCAGTCTGTCTTTCCAGTGAGCACACTTGCCCTATAGCAAAAATCTCTTAAAAAAAAGAAAAAATGTGGATACCCAGTTTCTATATGATTGGTTCTTCTTACTTGTTTTATAGTGATTAGCTTTAGAGAAAAACCATTTTCTTTCTTTTTTTTTTTTAAGATTTTTTTTTTGAGAGGTTTTTGCTATAGGGCGTGTGCGCTCACCAGACAGACAGAGAGAGACAGAGAGACAGAAAGCGAGAAATCACCCCCCAGGGGAGATGGCCACGCCACAATCCCTTCTCCTCTATACTCCTCTCGGGATCTTGGGCATGCACGCACACGCGCCTGGCGTGAGTTTTAAGCCACCGGGTCCAGGACGCGAACCGCAGTCGACTACGTGGGAGTCCAGCGACATAGCCATTACGCTAACTGCTGGTCCCAAGAAAAACCATTTTCTTAAATAAATAAAATTACAAGCATTTACCATCTATCAATTTGGGAGAGAGAAGAACAAATGGCTCTTACTACAAGATAAATTTTAAAGTTTGAAAGGCACTGTCCTGACGTGCTATTACTGAGTCCCATATTCCCCTTACATTTATCGTAACAGTCGATGGTCCAGAATGAACAGTTTGTTTGGTGAATTGTCCTTCTTTCTCTAAAATGTCAAATGAGCTATTTTCAACAGTAGCTAAAGCAGCTGGTTTTCTGATCCCATGAATTGAAAATAAAAGCATTCAAACTTGTTTAAACAAATGGATTTATTTTATGGATTTTTATTAAACTATGGATAAGAAAAACCTTCTTATTCTCAAAACTTTTAAGAAGTATGAATGAAAGATATTTTGTATTTTCTAGCTCCCTTTGAGTGATGAAGACAGACAATGGGAACAATCTGCCCAGTTATCTGTAGGGGGAAAAAACCACCAGAAATGGATTTTACAGCTTTTTCTAAAAGCCACCAGGACAGAGCTATCAACATGGATTATTTGTTTCATGATTGAACAAACTATTGGAATGAAAGTGCTAAGCATTATTACTCTTAATAATGGGTTCACTTCTAATTCCCAAACACACCCTCACACCTCCTTCCATGTATCATGCTCCACATAAAATAATGGGGATGTCAATACAGAAAAAATATGTAAAGAAAAGGATAAGGGTCTAACAAATTACAAAATGACTACTACATACTACCAATAATCCTTCAGGTTATCATAATATTTTTAAAGAATATTTAATGTTAGGGACCACAGTTAGTGTAATGGCTATGTCATTGGACTCTCATGTAGTCAACCAAGGTTTGAGTCCCAGACTCAGTGGCTTAAACTCACGCTGGGCGCGTGTGCATGCGTGCCCAAGATCCCAAGAGGAGAACAGAGGAGAAGGAATTGCGGCGTGGTCATCCCCCCTGGGGGGTGATTTCTCGCTTTCTGTCTCTCTGTCTTCCTGGTGAGTGCGCCCACCCTATAGCAAAAAAACAAAACAAACAAACAAAAAAACCCCAAAAACTCTCAAAAAAAGAGAAACATTTAATTTTATTTGTTATTATTATTATTTTTTAATTTGATGAGAGAGAGAGAAGGAAAGTGAGAAAATGAGCTTCCAGGTCCAGGACTCCAAACCATGGTCAGTCACGTGGGAGTCTATCTCCTTAACCTCTACACCACCTGCCAGCCCCCAGATTATCATAATTTTAAAAGGAGTCTTACTGTTGTAATTATAAATTTTTCCAATTGAATTTATCAAATTCATTTTCAAGGACACTTTTCTTACATGTCTCAGCAGGCAGAAGGTATGAGACCGCAGGTGAATGATGCAACATTTTCGTACCTCAGTCCCATTCTTGTTATTAGGATACCAGAATTTTACTGACACCAAGCTCACTGTAGGGACGGAAGGATCTTAGAAAAGCACTTTGGGTTCTAAGCTCAGTGAAAGAGAAATGATTTATGGTTAACTAACAAAGGAAGAACATATGCCAAAAATCTGCAGATAACCTAAGATGTTATTTCAAACAACAGCTCGACACCCTCCCATGGAATAGTTCACATTATAAGACATTATAGGCCTCATGGCTTGAACTGCTCCCTGCCCCTTCTGTGATGAATGTAATGAAAAACAGCAAAGCCTCTAGGAGTAAGAAGGAGGGAGAAGAAAAGGAGCAAGAGTCCTGGCTATTCCACAAACAATATTATCAGCCCCCAAGTTAGCGAGCTACCCTGTTATTTTTCTATACTGTTACTTAAACAAATATTGAGTATATCTTTGGAACTATTATGATGCTGCTGAGTTTTGTTTTTTGTTTATTTTTTTGTTTTTGTTTTTGTTTTTGTTTTTGTTTTTGTAGATGATCTCTGCATCACAGCCAGTCACTTAGTGAAGAAGAATGTCCACCATAGGAAAACTAATCAAATTTAAACTTTCTGATTAGGATTGTTCCTTTATTCTTAGCACTGTTTCTGTTTTTACAGGACAAGACACAAGTATTAATATAGAAGGGTTGTAAAATTCTGTGCCCAGCATACATGTTGTGCCTTATCTGAGAGCAATGAAGTGCTAACACCAATAAATACACTGCTTAAAAATGCTTAACTGTTATTTTCACCAATAAGATATTATAAAAATGTTTTAAAATACATCTTAAAAGTAAACCTTTCTTTTGCAGTTTAAAAAGTCAACATTTTTGGGACCAGCAGGTGGTGTGGTGATTAAGGCACTGGATACTCCCACATGGCCAACCAAGGTTCAAGTCTTGGACCCGGTAGCTTGTTTCTCACTTTCCCTCCCTCCTCCCCACCCTCTCTCTCTGGTCAAATTAAAATAAATGAATGAATAAATAAACTCAAGTAAATAATTATTTTTTAAAAAGTCAATATTTTAAAAAATTGAGTGTGGGTACCCGATTAGAAAATCATTTTACCTTAGCATGAAATATTAATAACACACATACATTTACACACAGACTCGAGATATCACAACAGAAACAAAACTGAAGACACTAACATTTCATTTCATGAAGGAATTAACTTTGTAGATAGCTGGAAAAGTCTAGATAGTCATAATATATATGTTAACCATTACCTACTACTTCTGTACGGAATCACATTTGTTAGACTCACCAGGCAAAGAATTTTGATTGGTAACATGCTTAATCCATTAATGGTTGTGATCTTGTTGTTGGCCAGACTAAGGTGAATGAGATTGCTGCACATCTCGAGTCCACGAATTTCTTCTATCTCGTTGCCTATATACCGTGACTATGTTTAAGGAAAATGCTATTAAAAGTATGTTGAAGAACAAAAGAATCTGTCAACTCATCACTAGAAAAATAAGACAACAGCTTAAATAAAGAAGCATTATATGCCTAATGTAGGATGAACACGAAATCCTGAGATTCACCTTTTCGTATGAAATAAATTATATACTGCATGAAATGAATGTTTTTAAAGGCATAGCTTTTGAGCATGCTTGGTTATATTTGCAATTGTATGTGACATTTCATGAGTTTGCAAGGAAACATCGTAGTGGCTCATGACTGCTTTCACAGAAATGACATCTGAATAACCTCGCAGACATACTATGTACCAAGCTTTCTCATTCTTCTAACTGGATAACAACCCGCATGATGCCATCCGTAGCAAATGGGTGGTCTAAAGACCTAAACCCTTTTATAATGAGGAACAGCCTTTTATTATATTGACTTCTCTTCTATCTTTAAAATAAATGAGATTTAAGCTCTGCCTTAATTTCCTTATTCATTTATTAAGTTATTAAGTTATCTCCATTTGGGACCAGCAGTTAGCGTAATGGCTATGTCACTGGACTCCCACATAGTCGACCGCGGTTCGCGTACCGGACCCGGTGGCTTAAACTCATGCCAAGCACATGTGCATGTGTGCCCAAGATCCCGAGAGGAGAATGGAAGAGAAGGGATTGCGGCGTGGCCATCCCCCTGGGGGGCGATTTCTCGTTTTCTATCTCTCTGTCTCTCTCTGTCTGTCCGGCGAGCGCACGTGCCCTACAGCAAAACCTCTCCAAAAAAAAAAAAAGGTATCTCCATTTGTTATAATATTAAAATGCAAACTTATCTTCTATGTTCCATCTTTGAGGTACCTAAAACTGCAATGCTGAAGTCACTAAGTCCTGTCAGCTCTTTCTGTCCTCAATCTCTTTGACAAATTCCCCAGATGTAATGTCATTTCCTCATCAAGGTTTGGTTTTTGCTCTCAAGTGGACTATGACATCACTTCTCAGCAACTCATAATCTGCAAAAGATCCAGTTGATTCCAAGACCTGACATATTTTTGCTTTAACCATCTCTTTACTTATTCCCTTTCTTTTTATTTATTCCTCTGCCAACTGAGCTGATCTTTAGCATCAGTGGATACTTCTAATATCCATTCAGTCCTGCCTCCAGTCACCTTATACATTGTCATTAGGTTAATTTTTTCAAAATATTGATTAGGTACTATGTTTCAATTTAAACAATTCTCATAGGATGAATTCAAAATTCGTCACTGTGGCAATCAAGACCCTTCACTATAATCATAATTTATTTATCTAATTCCATCCCCATTGTACTCCAGTGAGAATTCTCTGTTTCTGCCAAGTCAGTCCTCTCAGTATTTCTAGGATGCACCAAGAACTTCCTTACTTGTAGTGTATCATTTTGCTTTCTCACACTGCTTCCTATTTCTTTCTTTTTTTTAAAAAAAATGGTGTTTTTTAATCATTTATTTAATTTTTATTTATTATTACTATCCTTTTTAATTTGACCAGAGAGAGACAGAGAGAGAAAAAGGGAAAGTGAGAAAGCAAGCCACCAGGTCCAGGACTCAAACCGTGGTTGGCCGCGTGGGAGTCCAGAGCCCCAAACACCATGCTACCTGCCAGCCCCTCCTATGTCTTTTCAAACCCTACCCATTCTTCAGAACTTGACTCCAAATTGCACTTTTGTTCTTTTCTTTTAAATACTCATATTAAACCAATCCCCTAGGCATCTCTTACTGACAGATAACCACCATTTTCTTTTTATTATTTTTAATTACATAAGAAAGTACAAATAATAGACCGAGAACATATTCATTACATATGTGTGTATATACACACATATACACACATATATATAATTACTACCTAGACTACACAAAAAATTACAATAAATCAATTGGGGGAAAAAAGATCAAATAATCCAACACAAAATGGACCAGAAATATATCTGGGCAATTCCCAAATCCCAGCCGCTAACAAGCACAGGAAAATGCACTCTTTCACCGTAGTCAGGAGAATGCAAATTAAGATCAAATGCCATTCTTGACCCATCAGCTAGCAAACATTTTAAAGGATAAGATTTTGAAAAACAGATCCTTGTATACTACTGAGCAAGAGTGAGTTCATTATGATAGAGCCACCATGGAGGCAATTTGGCAACATCTATTATCCTTGTATGTACTGGCAATTCTATGCTGGCATTCACTCTAGACCAATCATTTCTTCCTCAAACGCCTTTTCTGGTCAACTTCTAACACCCACCTATCTCCATCAGAGAATTGAATTTTTTTACAGAGAAAAGAAGGGATCATAAATATCACAAAAATACATTTGTGCCTCATAATTATTTGTAATTATTCTAACTCTACTACTTACTAATTATGTTTTTCAACTTCTCTCTGCTCAGATTTTTTATTCAGAAAATAGGGATAACACTCATCTGCCAGTAAGGCCAAAAGTTAGGTCATGGGACAAAACCTAGAAGATGAGTTGCAAGAACCACAAACCATCTCTAAATTATAAGATAATTATAAGGCATTATAATTATTCTTACTAAATTATCATCACACGAGGCCAAGAAAGCATGTCCTCTACCTCTTGGCCAATAGCACAGAAATGGAAAAAGCAAAGTTCAGGAATGAATCTGAAACCAATGAACCCAAAGAAAGAAGTCAATGAGGACACTCTAGGGATAAATTGCTAAATGTACCCCAAATGCCTAGGCTGTGCTCATTGTTTGCAGGGTCTATCTTTGGACTGAAGCATAGTGCTGGGAGTGGTCCATAGGCATTTTCAAATTTACTTCCTGAAGGCTTCCTATCAGAATACCAGTACAAAGAGACACGCAGCCTATCCTTTCTGTTTCCACTTCCCTTGAATTGTCTAAATAAGTATTCTGGAACTAGAACAAAGACCAGATCTTTGTGCATTTGGATTGTAACAAAAAATGAATTAAAAAAAATAAGAAATAGGAGATTAAACTGTCCCACACAACTGGAGATAAAATGAAATGCCCTTGGACTATGTAGTCTTCAGCAAGGAAAATGTCAAATGGCCTTCTGCCTCAGTTTAGTAGGGAGAGCAAGCGTGTTTAAGTCTACTTCAAGAGCACTGGAGTCCTGGTAGCTCTATGCCCGCCAAGATGACGATACTCTAAAACATAGCAGAATAGAAGAGATGCCTTTGGTAGCTGGGTCAGGGAGCATCCCTGTGGGAAACAGGCAGAGATCAGAAAACAGGAATCCTGAAAGCATCAGGAGAAATCAGAAATTGAAAAAGCAAGCTTGTTTACTGTGCCGACAGTAATTTTCCAAGACATTAGAGGCTAACCGCAGATCCCCTGATACATCCAGCTCACTCTCTAGCTTTGACTGTATGGCTGTTATGTTTTCTGAAATTAGTATTGCAGGAACGAAAAGGAGGAGGGATGCAGATGTCTCCCTGCGGTCACAGCCATGGCTTCTGCAGATGCCACTGCCACCGTTCACAGCACTGGGTGAAAGGGCAAGAAATGAACTAACATCTCTGTTGAGAAGCTCATTTCAGAAAAAAAAAAAAAAATTGGTCTCCTGTTTCTTATCACTCTCCTTTAAATTTCAAAGAATTTCAGGCCCTGAAAATTAATCAGATTCTGACTCAGCTGTGCTTTTGACAGTGGAACCACAGCTCTTTTCCCCCTCGTTACTCCCACCGTCACGCGGGTGTATAACTGCCAGGAACGGTGTCACTCAACGTGTGGAACTGGGCCATACAGAGCTCCATTCACTGTGCAGTTTGCTCTTAGGAATACCGTTATCCCCCCAGTCTCCAGTTTTCTCATTTTAAGAACCTTCGCGAAGTGTTACTTGCCCTCCCTCCTAACATGATTTTTTCATGTTCTTTCATAGGTCTTGGGACTTCCTAATAAGAAGAAATAGAATCTGATAAATCACTAAACTGTTATAATGAATTCGCTTACTTGGTTAATCCTCTTAGGTATATTTTCATTTTAAAAGACCAATTTCAGGAAAAAGCGACTCAAAGAACTGCACCTCATCAAATTGCACTCAGGCTCTTATGTTTTAACACGTCTGTGAATACGTCTTTGACAGGAGAAGTTCAGATCCTCGTGGAAACGGAGTGAGGGGACCCTGCAGCACGTTCACATACCTTTACAACGAGGGAAAAGTCCGACAACATATTTTTACATTTTGGTGTTGCTGTCAGTACTGCACAATGCTAGACATGAATTATTCACCACTTCAGTATTTGCTCTTATTCATTTGTCTACGATCATAAAATATGGTTTGGGTATATAGGAAACAGTTACTGAGAAATAAAGAGGAAATCCATCACAATTCTCTTAGCAGAGAGAGATGCAATGATGGCTTTAATCAAAACCAATCTTAAAAGATCTCTATCACCTTACCAGTGAAAAATGTTCCTCTCTAGAGGAGTGAATCTCTAAGAAATGAAACACACATCCGGTTTAAATGGCTGAGTGATTAAGAGCAGTGATTACTCAATGAATGCAATCTGGGGGGAAACAAACAAACAAAAAAACAATGGAACTCAGAAGACTAGTCTCAGATTAAACACTGACCAAATAATCTTAGAGAAAGTCACTGAACCTCTCTGGGTCATAGGCTCCCTCTCCCACTAAAATACATAAAATAACGGTTAGTATTAGATGATCTCTAACAGCCTATCTAGATTCTAAATTCTACCATTTAAAAAAATTCTTATGATCCTGTAGTCACAAAATAAATTCTAATAAGTAATCTGTTAATG